GGGCCCTGCACCCTTACATGTCACCTACTATCTATTAGACACAACAGAAATATAAGGTAATTAGGAGTATATTAGAGACATAAAGAATCTAGAAAACCACACCTTAGAGAGATCATCAAAATGAAGAATGCAAAAGGAAGCAATTTTGCTGGGGTCTGGCTTTTTTATTTCTAAACTTTGTGCATAAAACAATTCCTTTGAGCCCTGCAGAGTGGGGTGTGAAAGTACTATATTTTCTTTACTATTTATTGAGTACCAAATAGGTGTAGGACATGACTCCAAGAGACACACAGAGACATAAAATGCAAGCTGTCCTTCAGAAATGTATAGTCTGTTTCAGAACATGAGGCAGATATAGGAAAAATAAATGAAAGGACCCAGTCAAATACCATAAGAAGCACAGACAATTTGGGCCACGGGAGGTCAAATACCAAGGATTGTCCCTAAGAGCTTTGAGGCAGGTAAAGATATCAATAAAAAGGAAGTATAGGATAGATTTCGACTTATAAGACGATGGATTTGTTTTCTTTTTAATGAGAGAGAGAAAGAGCGGTATTTTTAACAGGGTCTCAACATTGTGGTCCTCTGCTGCAGCCCCCAGTTGACCAGGATTATAGGCACAGGCCACCACACCCAGCCTCGTGTGGCCCCCTAGCAGCGGCACCCTACTGCTTGCACCACTGCAGTTGGGTCAGGAGATTGGCTTTAAGTAGGCGGAGTGGTCAAAATGAAGGAGGGAACATATGTGGTTTAGTTCAGGGTGCAACCAACTATAGCAACATTCTGGGATGGTGCTTGAGGATGACTCTTTGTCCTGGGAGACACCGTCTTAGGTTCAGCACTTCTTTTTTTTTTTTTTTTTTTTTAATTTTACTCATTCATTTATTGTTTTTTTATTTACATTATTTTTAATACATTCAATCACATTATTTAGCTTACAAGGTGATCATTCCAATATGTGAACATTTCTCCCTGGTCGAGTTGATCAAAATATAACAACACTACCTCCCTGTCTCAACAATGCTGTCTTCGTATCCCTCCTCCAAATGTTTTCCCCCAGACCCCACTCCTCCACACATACCACATCTGGCATTCACATCCATCTCTTGTGTTTGTACATCCTATAGCCCGTCCATTTCAGTTATAGAGTGTGGACATTCGGTATATATTAAGAGGGGACATACAGTGTTTCTCCTTCATAGCCTGGCTTGCTTCACTCAGCAGTAAATCTTCCATATTCTTCCACTATCTGTCAAAAGCCACGGTTTTGCATTTCTTTACCTTCACTTCATCCCTGGAAACCTGCCACCTACAAGTGCCTTGTTGAAAGGGACACACTACACTCTGAATCACTGCTTTCCCTTTCCCAGCTGCTAGGAACTGCCAAGATACAAACCGGATCACACTGTAGAGGCCCCTGATCCTTGGTACCAAAATTAAAGTTCTCAAATATTGAAATGTCATTAATTCAGCCACTGAAAAGATGCCTTCCTTTTCATAAGCGAATATGAATGAAATAACATGTTATTAAAAAAGAGAACTCCTTTCTTGAATTAAAGTCATGAATACCAATCTTCATGTTGTCAGCTCAATTTTCCTTTGGGTTACAACTTATCCCACCAGGCTTTTGATTATAAGCACTTGGTTATAGGTTGGATAGAACTCCCTTCAGAGATGCCCAGCGTGGGAGTTTTGATGGAGTTCTTGATGAAGTGAAATTGATATGGAGCTGCAGTTTTTTTTTTCCTAGTGATCTTCTCTAAAGTTGCCATGACCCTCTTAAATCAGAACAGGTTGTAGAGAATTTAAGAGGGCATTGTTTGTGTTTGGACCCAAGGGATGGGAATTGTGAGATGTTCAAAGCAGTAAAAGCAGTGCTGAAAAGAACTTATGCCTGCCAACATTTACTCACATCTTGGCCTTGAACTTCACCTATTATGTGGATAAACCTCAAAAGCATTGCATGCAACTCTCATAGGGCAGGGTGAAGTCTAGATACTCCCAGTCAAATGCCTTGACAAATCTGATGACATCTGAGAAGGGTGTGCTTCACTCTGGTCACTGCTCCCTTATGGTATGTCAGGCTGGATAAGAAGAAAGGGCCTTTCTTTTTTTTTTTTTTGGAGAGGTTTTTGCTATAGGGTGCGTTTGCGGGTGCTTGCCAGAACGACATATCACGAGAAATCACCCCCCAGGAGAGATGGCCATGCCACAATCTCTTCTCCTCCATTCTCCTCTTGGGATCTTGGGCACGCATGCACACAGGCCTGGCGTGAGTTTAAGCCACTGGGTCTGGGACTCGAACCGCGGTCGACTACGTGGGAGTCCAGCGACATAGCCATTACGCTAACTGCTGGTCCCAAGGCCCTTTTATTTTTGTCAAAAGACTTAATGGAGAAGTTCCAGCTTCTGGAATAGCTTAACCAGATTAACCTTCTGGCAGACAACAATCACTAAATCTGGGCAATATATAAGAAAACACTTACCTGAAGACACTAGAGAATGAACGAAATTAGGTAGATATGAGGCAACATGCTAGTGAAAGAGGAATTATAAGAAATATGATTTCTGGGACCAGCAGTTGGCGTAATGGCTACATCACTGGACTCCCACATAGTTGACCACGGTTCAAGTCCTGGACCTGGTGGCTTAAACTCATGCCAGACACATGTGTGTGCGTGCCCAAGATCCTGAGAAGAGAATGGAGGAGAAGGGATTGCGGCATGGCCATCTCTCCTAGGGGGTGATTTCTTGCTTTCTGTCTTTCTGGCGAGCGCACATACCCTATAGGAAAAAACCTCTCTCAAAAAAAAAAAAAAAAGAAAAGAAATATGATTTCTGAGTGTGTAGCTTTTCACCTAAGAGTCCTCCCCGATTTGCAGTAAGAAGTAAAACTTAACCAAAAAATGGTACAGAGTCAAGTAAGAAATCTGAAAGGGCCTTTATCTATCAATGAAATTTAATTAATAATCAAAAACTGTCACAAAGTAAATTTCAAGCTCAGGTGATTTTATTGGTAAATTCTATTAAATCTAAGGAAGAAATAATACCAAACTTACACCAACTCTCAGAAAGCAGAGGAGAAAGGAGCATTGTCAAAATTATTATATAAAACCAGTACTACCCCGATATCATCTAGTATATTCAAGGAGTTTCTACAATGTCTGCTTGACTCCAAAGTCAATCACTATGTGTCCTTTGGTGCTGGGAGAAACCACGCCTTAGGCTGTGAACCTACCTGCCCCGGTGCCCTCGACAACTGCCTGGGCATTGTCATAAGAATATCCAAAACACATTTCCCAAGTCCCCAAATTCCTCCTCTAACTTCCCCCTGTTCATCCAATGTTCCTTCATCTGAAGATCTTCATAAAGTGGGGCTTTTATCTTCGCCCTCCCTGCCTTTACACAGGCTGTTCCCCTCACGTGAGGGTCATTCTCTTCACACAGCTCTTTGGTCTCAATGTTTCCGCTCCAGGAAGGAATCCCCAGCCGGCCTTTCTTCAGGGGCTTCTCCTTTATATTTTTTGACTTGCTTTCTGTCTTTCTGGCGAGCGCACATACCCTAAGGAAAAAACCCCTCTCAAAAAAAAAAAAAAAAGAAAAGAAATATGATTTCTGAGTGTGTAGCTTTTCACCTAAGAGTCCTCCCCGATTTGCAGTAAGAAGTAAAACTTAACCAAAAAATGGTACAGAGTCAAGTAAGAAATCTGAAAGGGCCTTTATCTATCAATGAAATTTAATTAATAATCAAAAACTGTCACAAAGTAAATTTCAAGCTCAGGTGATTTTATTGGTAAATTCTATTAAATCTAAGGAAGAAATAATACCAAACTTACACCAACTCTCAGAAAGCAGAGGAGAAAGGAGCATTGTCAAAATTATTATATAAAACCAGTACTACCCCGATATCATCTAGTATATTCAAGGAGTTTCTACAATGTCTGCTTGACTCCAAAGTCAATCACTATGTGTCCTTTGGTGCTGGGAGAAACCACGCCTTAGGCTGTGAACCTACCTGCCCCGGTGCCCTCGACAACTGCCTGGGCATTGTCATAAGAATATCCAAAACACATTTCCCAAGTCCCCAAATTCCTCCTCTAACTTCCCCCTGTTCATCCAATGTTCCTTCATCTGAAGATCTTCATAAAGTGGGGCTTTTATCTTCGCCCTCCCTGCCTTTACACAGGCTGTTCCCCTCACGTGAGGGTCATTCTCTTCACACAGCTCTTTGGTCTCAATGTTTCCGCTCCAGGAAGGAATCCCCAGCCGGCCTTTCTTCAGGGGCTTCTCCTTTATATTTTTTGAAGCTCACATTCGTTTCCTTAAGAGTAATTAGAAAACATTTTATGCACCTCTCTTTCCAAAACACAAGTTTCTAATGATTGACACCCTCTCTGACTTGTTTAGAATTGCTTCTTGTTCATCAGCTCCCTTTAAAACACAAAGAAGGATGACAACTAACAGCTTTCCAGCTTTCCTACGGGGAATATCTTAAACCTCAAGAAGAGAGGAGGAGGAGGAACAGAGCCCTCTGCAGAATCACAGAAAGCACTGCATTAGTGCGGACTGTCTGCCCATCAGGCAGACATTTCCCAATTAGGCAGAAACTGAAACACAGGTGAGCTTCTGCCTGTAATCACAATAATGATGATGATGATGGTAGTGGTGACAGAGACACTGATGATAATTAAGTTGCCTTATTACATGCCAGGGTCCTTACACTTTTATCTCTAGTGCTCCAAACCACCCTACAAGATGGAGCGTACTATACACACACACATGAGAAAACCGGGATTCACGAGAGAGCTAAGGTCATCTTATGTCTAACTAGACAAATGTCATGGTGAAATTATTACAGCCTCATTCTCTCAAAAGTTTTCATTATAAAGTTCTCTCCAGAGTTCATTAAAACACACATGGACACGCACATGCACACACACTCTATTTCTCCCCCTCTCCCAAACCCCCGCATTAGAATAAAACAAGTCTCCAAAGCCATATTCAAATCAAATGGTAGATTTATTCGCTGTCTCCGGTATATGAGGTGAAAATGTCTCAATTTAGGACATTCTAAACCTTGCTTTGGCTTCCTGCTGTACATCAGACCAGCATCAGGCCCAGAGGCTCACCACCAGTGACAACAGACGGAAACTGCTGCTGGTTCTCATGTCGATCATGATTCATTCCACAGTTTTAGTAAGCTTTTTGTTTTTTTCTTTCATAGCATCTTCCTCTTTTCAAATTCCTTCAAAAACAGAGACAGAAAGAAGAGAGTGAGGATTAAAGTGTTCATGGTCAAACGACTCTGAAACCTATTCTCTTTGGGATCCTTTGAACAACCAAGTTACAAAAGTCAAATGTACCAGGATGAGGGTGCTTGCACATAAAATAACAGCTTTCAAATTAGTCCGTGACAGCTTGAATTTCACTAAGCTAAATGCAGAGCTTCAACGTTATGTCTCCTAAACCCAGAAGCTGAGAGAGGGCCTCTAAATAACACACATTTTTCACTAAAGTATTATTATTAAGAGTTGACAGACTTGGGACCAGTAGTTGGCATAATGGCTATGTCGCTGGATTCGCACATAGTCGACCGTGGTTTGAGACCCGGACCCGGTGGCTTAAACTCATGCCAGGCACGTGTGCCCACGTGCCCAAGATCCCAGAGGAGAATGGAGGAGAAGGGATTGCGGCATGGCCATCCCCCTGGGGGGTGATTTCTCGCCTTCTGTCTCTCTGTCTCTGTCTGTCTGTCTGGCGAGCGCACGCGCACTATAGCAAAAAAACCTCTCCCCACCCCCCCAAAAAAAAGAAGAGTTGACAGACTTCAACATGCTTATCCGAGCTGTAATGCTATACATCAACTATAACCTACCCTCTTAATAAGGCAATGGAAGCAGGCTTACTTAGTTTCTGAGGGAACAGAACGAAACTCAGATTCAGCTAGGATTTGGACAAAATTGTCAGGAACCTTGAAATACCTGAAATAAACACTTTAACCAAAGTACTATTTAAGGAAACAACACTGAAAACCCTATTTTTCCAGACGATAACGATTATAAGAGGCAAGATGTGTAGAGAGCTGCTGCCACTTACTGGGGTAAAGTGGGAACACACATCTCTGATAAAAATTTAAGCATTTGCTTTTTTCCCTTTTCTCTCACTTTCAAGTAAAATTCTTCTTCACATACTCACTAACCACCTAAATTTCCTGAAACACTATGCACATAGTAGTGTTATATTCCAAAAGACAGGATATGCAAATATTCAATAAAACAAGTAGTCCATTTTATTATCCCTACAAGGGCAGGGGACTACACCGATTCAGGGTTATTAAATATTCTCTGAACACTGTTGGCTTTTGGGAAGACAATTTGTGCCTATTTCCAACAAGCTTTGAAAGCAGGGACTTTCTTGTTCTCTGCTTTATTTTGAAGGCTATACCTATCATAAAAATAAAGGAAAGAAAGCATTAAATGATCACTCAGAGACAAAGTTACTGCAAAGACATTATGGAAGACACCAAACCATTTAAAATATTTTGACAACATCCTATTAGAAGGAAAAAGCAATGCAAATTGTTAAGGTGCCTCTCCAACCTATAAACCACCATGGCATCATCACAACTCAACCCGGGCTGGAAACTAAATGCTAAACCATCCTCTTTTAGGCTTCTCTCTACTCCAACTTTTGTTTTTTTCCTACTCAGTCTCCAATCCCTCTCCCTGGAAACAAACCTATGGGGTCAGGGCCCCTTTGGGGAAAAAAAAAGCAATACATATGGCAGTTCTCTGTACATGCCCTGCCAAGATCCTCAAAATGGAATTTGTGGCATGTATGGTCTCCAGTGCCTTTTTTTTTTTTTTTTTTTTTTTTTTTTTTTTTCTTGTTTGCCCC